TGTTTTTGTGCCTAGAAGTGTAATATCATTGAATTTTCAAAAGTTGTGCTGTAACCTGGCCAGGAGTTTGTTATTCCATGATTAGACTTCTTTCTGCCCAAGTCTGGACCACATGCTGATTTGGACCCAAGTGGAGAGGCTCCTGCAGGTTGTGTTGTTGGGTGGTCTCCCCCCAGCTTGGTGCTGACAGTGGCATATACCCTGTATGGTGCAGTGAAATTGCTTAAATATGGCCCTTCTAGCCATAGTCTTCATAACTCCCACCAAACGACTGGGTGGGGCTATACAAATGAGATGCTTCTAGCCCACCAAGGGGATTGGATAGCTTGCTAATAATGTAAATAAGGTGCATGGCACACTTGTGGGGATGAGACTATGCAAATGAGGTATATGGAACCCTAACGAGAGGATTGGTCAGTTTTGCCATCCCACTAGGCTTAAAATGAGCTATCCCAGAGAAAGGAAGGGAGGATTTCACCACCACCAAGAAAGAAAAGCCAGGAGTGGAGCATGTCCTTTGGAGCCTGGATCCCTGCACTGAGAAGCTACTGGAACCAAGAAAAAGCTGTAACACTGAAGACAGAAAGAAGTAGCAGTAGAGAAATAAATGGTGGGAGCAGAGGCAGGAGACTGGAGTGAGAAAGCTGAGTGCCTTTGGGAGTAGGGTGCCTCCAGGCAGTTGGTGGAGCTAGGTTTGCTGACCCATGAAGCTAGAGCTGAGTGCCTTCAGGCTAAGGCTTACTGGAGGAGTGGGGTGCCTCTGGGCACTTATTAGTAGAGCTAAAAGAGATTTGTAACACTTGCCCAAGCAGGACAGAGGCCAGGCCAAGGGGCTGAGGGCCAGAGATAGACTTGTCTGCAGGCACGGCTGAGAAGAGGCTGTCCTGATGGAAGAATTGTATCCTGAGCATTCCTGAGCCTGAATTGTAACCTGTAACTTCCCTAATAAGCCCCATAATCATGAACATTGTAGTTCTGCGTGGCCACTGCAATGAATTATTGAACTCAGAAGAGAAGCAGAGAGTGTCGTGGGAGAGATGGTTGGTGTCAGAATTGATAAAACGTTGGAGAGGAGGTGTGTCTACCTCCGCCTCATAGGAATCAACTTTGAGCTGTTGATCTTGATTTTCCTTCCCCCTTGTGAAGTTAGAGGAGGTCAATGCCTCTGCCATGCCCATTTTTACACCCTGCCCCATGGAGAGATCTTTAGAGGCCTGGCGGTGACAGAACTTGAAGGTGGTGCCACCCACAGAGCATCTCCGAAGTTTGGAGTTGGTGACCTTGGAGTCAGTCAGATTAGCTAGTCGTGTAACTGAGCCTCAGTTTCCTCCTACCTCAACACGTTGTGAGCATTAAACGAGATAATGCATAGAAAGCAGTCAGCACAATGCCCAGGACACTGTGCTCAATACATAGAAACTTTTTTTTTAAACTTTTGAATGCAAACATTTTTAACATGGATGGATTTCAAGATCTCCATAATCTCCTTGATAATGCAGTATGCACAAAATTTGTGGACGTGTAAATCATGTGTTCCTGGGCCTATATGCTGGGCATAGCTGGCCCCTCCACAGGGGCGTAATACTGGCTCCTCAGCCCCCCATGGGCCAGCCCTGCCTGCTCAGGCTACTTGATGGTAGGGCCGGAATTGTTCTGTTTTTGCAAGGTAATCTTCGGAATAGAATCCTAGAAGTGGATGGCAGGGTCAAAGGGTAAGTGCATATGTAACTGCTAGATATTGTCAAATTCCCCTTTGCAATCCCGCCAGCAGCGCAGGAGAGGCCTGCTTCCCCACAGCCTCAATGGCAGACTGTGATCAATGTTTAGATTTTTTTGCCAACCTGCTAAGCAAGAAATAGTATTTCAGTGTCATTTTTATTTGCATTCATTTTATCTTGAGCGAGGTAGAGCATCTTTTTACACGTTTAAAAGCCATTTGCATCTTTGTATTTTTAGAAGCTGTATATTAGGGATATTAACCATTGTAATAAAGTTGCAAATATATTTTCTGAGCTTGTGATGTTTTACTTTTCTAATGGTTTTTTTTTTTTTTCTATAATGTAGTCGAGTTTATCAATGTTTTCTCTGTCTCTGGATTTTGAATCAGGAAAGTTTTCCCGACTCAGGGTTATAAAGGAATTCCCCCATTTCCTTCTAGTTCTTAGCTGGTTTCATTTTTCCAGTGATCGCAGCACCACTCATTGAAAGGCCCAATGACTGCTGATGCCGCCATCATCGTGTGCAAAATTTTCATATGCAGTTGGGCCTATTTCTGGATTTTTGTTTCTGTTTTATTGATCATTGTGTCCATGGGTCAGTTCTCCCCATCCAGACTATTCTTCTCTCAGGGTTTCCATGGTTATTCTAGCTTGTTCTTCTAGACCATCTATATAACAAGAAGAGTGCCTAATGACAAGGCCAATGTCCATGCAATGTTAAGTAGAATAGTAGGTAACAGAACCACACTATATATATATATTCATTTTTTCCTTATAGAAAAATATTGGAAGAAAAAACACCAGACTGGTGGTAGTGATGTCTCTGAATAGTATGGTTATGGGTAGGTGGCATTATTTTGTTATTGGTGCAAACCTTGATGCAAAAACTTTGCCACCACAAGGCTGCCTCTTCCTTTTTTGTCTCCACCTCATCCCTGTGCCACTCTGTGAGATCTTGTCACACTTCTGGGCCACCAACAGTGGCAGATGGAGCCATTTCAGGCCCATCTTTGCAGGGAGGGAGTGCATTACAGCAGGGCTGGCCCATGCCTGCGTGGGCAGAAAGGTTCACACCATCCGATTCTCCCTCTGGAAGGGCCATAATCATGCTCTCCATTATCAGGCCCCCACATCGTGTTGGAGAGTATTTTCTAACTCTCCCAGGAGACAGGGGGGTTGTAAGAGGTATGGGGAACACCAAGGGCCAGTCTCACCAAGTTCGTATTTTGGCTCAACACTGTCCAAAAGAACTTTCTGTGGTGATGGAAATGCTCTGTATCTGTTCTGTCCAATATGGTGGCCACTAGCCAAATGTGACTATTAAGCACTTGAAATGTGGCTGGTGCAGCTGAGGAACTAAATTAACTAGCTGCATGTTGGACTCAAACAAACCAATGACCATGAAGATGGCACAGGACTGGGCAGTTTTGTTCTGTTATACGTAAGGTCACCATGAGCTGGAGGCGACTAGACGGCAACCAGCTACATGTGGCTAGTGGCTATTGAACAGTGCAGCTTTGGCCAATTGAAGCCCAGCCACGGCTTGCACCCCAGTCATCCCTCTTTCAACCTAGTCCTGAGAGGAGGGATCATGCGTGTGCAAGCTGCTGCAAAGGTGGCAGAGGCTCCCGTGGGCCAGGTTGAGAAGAGGGCAGAGGGGACTGCCCCAGGGCTGGTCTTACTCACAGACCATACACACGTGCCCTGCAGGAGGGGTCCATGCCTGAAGCAGCCCCTCATCCCCACCCCAGTGGCCATCACAATGACAGCCAGCCCAGCATCACAATACCACAGGCGGGAGGCTGAGCAGCAGCCTTGCAGCCCGGTGGGGCATTTTCTTCCATGGACACTTCTCTTTGTCTGCAGACCTACTTACAGCAACCTAGGTGTCAGAGGACCCCGTTTCCTGGGGAATGGAAAAGCACCCAGCAGGCCTCAGGCTGGAGACCCACAGGAGGCGGCAGGGCAGGCGTGGAGGGCTACGGGGACTGGCTCTGCCCCAGGGTCTGGACGCTGCAAGGATCGGTGGCAGATGGAGTACTCTGTGAACACTGAGCAGCTGCTCCTTCTTCCTGGCGGTTTGGTTCTTCCTTCAGGACTACTTCTGACTGGCCTCCCTTCCCCATGCCCAGGGGCTAGAGGGGCAACTGACGGGTGACTGGCATGGCCCAGCTCCTGGGGGTGAGGGCAGAGAGGCCCAGGGCTGGAGGCCTTGCCCCACAGAGAGGACAGCCGGGGCCCCACGGCAAGGCCTCACTCAGAAACCTCGGGGATTCAGTTAGAGGCTGGGGGGGGGGGGGCGGGGCGCGGTGCAGAGGCAGTGCCTGCCCTGGCCTCCTTGCCCTCAGAGGGATCCAGTGCTGCATGTGCAGAAAGAGCTTCGTGCCTCACCTGAGCGAAGGATGCGAAAAGCTTGTACAGGCAGGACACTCTAACCCCAGATATTCTAAATCTGGGGATCTAGACTGGAGACCAAGAATCCGAATTTTTAACAAACCCCACCTTCCTGACAATGTAGACTTAGAATTCTATTTGCCCTGTAGGCAAAGCAGGGAAGCCAGAGAGAACACCAGCCTCCTTCTCCGCAGTTCCCTGGGATGGCAGTGGGCCTGTGCAGGGGGAGAAGAGCAGGCGGCTGACTCCTGGGACTCCTGGGACCAGGAATGTGTAGGCCACAGCCTGTCCATGGTTACCTGTGATTAATCACAGGGATAAGATATTATAAAGCATCTCTGGGCTGCTCCTTCCAAAATGTGCTCAGAATGGAATGGGGAATAGCATGGTGTTTTCTCACTGACATTCTTCTAGTGACTAGAATCTATTCAATACAGTAAACAGAGTCGTAGAAATATATATTTTCCCTCTGGGACTCCATGTGGCTAAATTTTGAATGAAAAAAAAAAAAGCAGCCTATAAACAAGTGTTTCCCTGAAATAGACCTCATGCAGAAAAGGCACCTTCTCACAGCAGTGGGCGGCACCGCCAGCTCTGCCACCAGAGCCCCAGAGGCCTGAGCCCAGGCTGGCCCTCCCCGGAAGAAGCCTTCTCACCCCGACCCACCTTCAAACTCGTGATTTTGGGCCCTCACACATCAGCCAGGTCTGAAAATGCGCATTTCTGTCCTTTCAGGCCACTGACAGGAATTACAGCGGAAGGGTTGCCGTAACTGCGCACGGCTGCCCTGTGAGTAACACTGTGTGGGAGTGGGTTGGGGACATAAGAATGACGACACAGACAGACACTCCACCAGGAAGAAGCCCACAGCAGACATCAACAATCGCTTTATTAAGGCTCGGAGTGGTCTCCCAGTGGGGGGATGAGTCACTCACCCACAGACCCCTGCATGGTTCACTTCGGGGTGACACTCTGAAGGCGGAGGTGCTCCTATAGGTCCCGAGCCGCAGCGTACTGCGCTCTGCTCATGACTGCCCCGCTGGAGGGGGTGTGCAGACAAGCCTGAAGGGGTGTGTGCAGACAACTCAGGGGCCCTCAGCAGGGTGATCCTGCCCAGGGTGGGGCTGGCTCCAGTAGGCCCTGAGGTCTGGCAGGGGGACTGGCAGGGAGGCACAGGAGAGCAGGGACAGCTCCCTCACCCCTCCTAGCACAAGCTATGGCTTTGTTATCCTGTTGCCACTTGGAGCAGGAGGGTCATGTCCCCTCGCGCAACCCTCGTGTGTTACACGGTATGAGGTGATGAAGGAAAAGACCCCTGGGAAAGAAAAGGCAGCTCAGGGACCCACTCGCACCCTACTCTGTGCCTAGCACCTGGCCAGACCTCGGGAGCTGTGACTCCTCCCAGCGATGGGTCTTCTCTTGTTGAGGTTGGTCACTCAGAAGTGGACCCGCAGCACATCCTGGCTGGCAGCTGGCCGCTGGCAGACTGTGCACGTCATGGGCAAGGACCGCTGCTTCTCACCCAGGCAGGGCCGGCACAGAAGGTGGCCACAGGGAAGTTGGTACACGGGCTCCTTTCTGAAGTAGGGAGAGAACACTCTTTTGCAGGTGGCGCACTCGGGGCCCAGGCTGCTCCCAGGCTGCTCTGGTAAATCAAGGAGGAAAGTAGGCCAATGTTAGGGAAAGCTGCTTCCTGGGCCAGGCATCTCTCCTGGAAGACAGGCACGTGCTGGGAATGAAAAGAGAAGCTGCCCACCACACACCCACCAAAGCTGCAGCAACTGCCTCAGCCTCCCCCCAGTTGCCTCTGGCTGATCTGGGAGAAGAGGTAGCAGGGAGCCTGGAAATCTGGGAGGCCTCCATCTCTATCATCTTTGATCACATCTCTATGCTCCCATGAATGCTCAAGAAAAGTCAGCTCCCGAGGGCAGCCAGGCAGGACTGGGCCCTTCCTCCTGACCTCTCAGCGAGACACATTTTCCCTGGGACAGGCTGCCAAGGCCAGAGCAAGGCACAGGCTCACCCTGGCAGTCACAAGCTGCAAAAAAGGTTAGACAGGACAAGAAAAAGGGGACAGCAGAAGATGGCCCAGTTTCGCAAGGCTGGCGCAGCTCAAGAGGGGAGGGAGGCCACCAGACCTGCCTGCTGAGCCTGGCGCTGGCTTCTCTTCAGTCCCTCAGCCTCCTTCCTGTGCTGCACACCCCCAGGGGCAGGCGCAGGCGCTCCCCTTCCCTGCTTCCTGTAGGGCCTTCCTGAATGAAGGCCACAGCGGACAAGTCCTGCCACACTTGCTCCCCAAGCTGCACTGGCTCTTTCCTCTCTCGTGGACCTAGCACAAGGAACCTGCTCTTCTCCTTCAATACACACCTCCTGAGAGGGTAGACAACATAGGCAGGTGCTGGGCTCACTGTCCTACTTGCAGTCCACTTCTCCATTCCCAGACCATCACCCCTGGGGACCCTAAAGGCACCCCAAACCAATTTGCTTCATAAATGCTTCTTACACCCACCGCCTCCTCCTCATCTTTTTTCATTACAATAATCCAGGCCACCCTCTCATCTCCAGCCTAACTGGATGGCCTTCCTACAGTCTTATCCTCTTAATCCACCTCAAAGCTGCCCTCAATGACCCCCAAACACAACCAGACCTCCCCTACACCTCTGCTTTCCACCTCTTAGGGGCTCCCCATCACCTCTGGGACAGCCAGGATGCCCTTGTTCGGCCTGTCCAACCTCACCTCTCTTCACACTCAGTCTTGTCTACTAGGGCTCAGAGATCTCAAACTGCTTCTTTCCTGCACATATCCTGCTATTGTTGGCCTCAGACCTTGTGCTTGCTGTCTCCTTTGCCTAACCAGTTGCCATGGAGTCGACTCCAACTCATGGTGACCCCATGTGTGTCAGAGTAGAACCCTGCTCCATAGGGTTTTCAATGACTGATTTTTCAGAAGTACAGACTGCCAGGCCTCTCCTCCCAGACACCTCTAGGTGGACTTGAACCTCTGACCTTTTTGTTAACAGCCGAGTGTTGTTAACCTTTTGCACCACCGAGGGACTCCTCCCTTTGCCTAGAATGCCCTTATTCTTTGAGACTTAGCTCAGACCACACCTCCTCCAGGAAGATGTCCCTGACTGCCCTGCTCCTGTGCTTTCAGAGCCCCGGTCAGCAACCTAATCATGAAGCAACCTAAAAGCACCAGGTGTCTCTCATGGGCACAAAGCCCAAGAATTCTATAGCACACGGAAAGAGTACTTTCCTTTCCGCATAGGTAAACTTCTACCACACACTGGCCTAGACATTTTTAAAAAAAAGATGAAGGAAAGGGACACTGACTTATATTTACCAAGTGTCTCTTGCATGCCAGGTTCTGTGCTAGATGCTTCTGAGAGCTGTTTGACCCATAGGTGCATCGTCAGATTTCATTCTCCATTTGAGTTTTAAAAGCCACATCTGCCACCCCACCACCGAAGTATGTAAGGGCCTCAATTCTCTCCAGCACTGCCCAGCAGCCCCATTAAAGGGTTTCAGAGGCCTAGAGCCCCAGGGGAAGTTTCAGTGATAAAGGAACAAAGATCATCAAGGAAGAAACTACTGTGCTTTCGGCAGATTGGAAACCTAAAGCCCCCAAAACAGTCTCTTTCCAGGTCCCAGGCTGCCACTTACCAGACATCTAACAATGGACTAAACGTGCCAAGAAGGTGGCACCTTCCTATACTAGGAAAGACCAGAATTTTTTTTTTTAGTTGGGGGAGGGGAGAGAGACAACTATTAAGCTCTGTCTTTGGCTGCTGACGCTGTAGGATCCTGCCTAATGAGGGGCATTTAGTACGGAATGCTCTCCCAGTTGTGCTTCCCTAAATCCACACTGAGTAAGAACTTAACCAGCCTCAAGTTTTCTTTGCCTTCGAAAAATGTGTTCACAGGTAACGTCACAGAATGAACTTAAATGATAAGGAGAATGTGCATGAAATATTTTCAGTGGCACCTAATTATACACAGGGTCGCTGCGAGTTGGAATCGACTCGGCGGCAACGGGTTTGTTTTTTTTTTTAATAAGAAATGCTAATGATTCTGATGGTGGGCAACTGTGTTCAAACTGAGAATTTTTATGTGCTGTCATGGTTTTAAAACGTGTCTGCAGGGTAGTTCCAGTTCCTGGCAAGATGGAGTAATAAGCACATTCCACCCTGTCCCTCCCACTGAATGCAACTACAAACTCCGGACAGAGACAGCTGTGCAAGGACTCTGGAAAGTGAAAGGGAGCAGGCAGACTGGGGAAGGAGACCCGGAGTTGAAGGATCACCAAACCAGCAGTGGGTTTCCTGCCCCCTCCTCGCCAGATCACCTGGCCTGGGCTCAAAAGTAGCTCAGCACCTGTAAGTGTGTACTGCATAAGGCCAGAAAAAGTTCCACAACAACACTTTCTTTTCATTCTGAGGAACAAGAAAGTAGATTCCTAAGGATCAGAGTCAGAATCCACTCGATGGCAGCGGGTTTTGCTTTCTGGGTTTTTTTGTTTTTAAGGGTTAGACAGAGTAGGGGGAAATCCTGTTTTTTTGGTTTTGTTTTATTTTCTTTTTCTCTCCTCTGTCCTCCAGCCACCAGGCCCAGGTCACAGATGCAATCACAGGAATTGCATGGCAAAGCAGGCAAACCAAAGCTCCGGCTCTCTGGTTGGAGGATGAGGAAGGTGTCAAGGAGACTGCAGAGATTAGGAGCTCAAAAGAGAGATCCTATAAGTGGTGTATCGGCTCCTGGACTCGCCTCTGCGCTGTGCATGTGTGGATCTGACCCTAATAGTTCAGTGTTAGAAGGTTTAGTCTGAGACATCCATGAGATGCCCATGTGCAGTGCCAAGCAGCTGAGTTCCAAGGAGAGGCAAGAGCTATAGAAGAACACAGGGCAGTCACTGGACAAGTGTGCTCTCACTCAGGGTGAGAGAGTACCGAAGAAGAGGGTCTGGGGCCAGAGTCTTGTAGAGGAGGAAGAGTCAGCAATGGAAACTGAAGAGGGACTACTGAGGATGAGGAAAAACAGGCACAACAGTCCAGAGGCTGAGAGAGAAGGTGTTTCATGAAGGAGGGGCTGGGCTGGTCACATCAAATGCTGCTGGGAGTGTAAGCCACCACTAATCTTGGGGTCACAGAAATTGCTGGTCACTTTGACAAGACAGGCTCTTGGGAATGGTCAGACTAGAAACCTAATCAGAGTGGGCAGAATAGAGATGAGGAGGTGGGAATGGAAGACAGAAAAGGAAAAAGGTCTGGGATCCAGAAAATGAGAAAGGACTGGCTTGGGGGAAGTAGGAGGAATCAAGTGTACACCTTATCACTAGCCCCATAAAGCTTCATCTTGTTAAAAAAAAAAAAAAAAAAAATTCCAACAATATCCCAGCCAGTACTTCTTGCTTTGAATCTAATAGATTCTATCATACAATGTGTTCCCAAGTTCATTTCAGGGAAAAATTGGTTCAGCAAGCTACTTCAGGAACTGTCTTTAGTAAGACCCTGATGAGAATGTTTAATAGAAAGGGATGACGATGACATATTCAACCCCAAACCTTCCTCCACATTTATAAAAAGTCTCTCAGATGCCAGATGGGAGACGGATTAAATCAGAAAATAAACAAAAAAGGAGAAACCAATAAAAGGCCTCAGGACAGAAGAATTAACATTAGATCTTACCCAAAAACCACAGTAAAGAGTAGCCAAGCCCTAAATTCACAGAATTACTAATAGTTGTCTAACGAAAGTCTTTCTCCTGCAAAGTTTAACTCCTGCTGGCAAAGGAGAGAGAAGAGGCTTTCTCGCCTGGCCTGGGTGTTGGAGCTAAGGAGGAGGCTGGGCATGCAGATCTGCAGATAGCCCAGATGCATGGCCCCACACACTGCGCAGAGAACAGACCACTGTTCAAAGGCTTCCAGGATATGGATGGGGCCCATGTTACCCAAGCTGGCGCCTGGCCTCCAAGAAGAGTTGCTCCCTCTTGTGCCAAGGTGCTGGAGCTGTCCCCTGGTCAGCCGAGCTGTGAAAGAGGGCATGGAGCCAAGGGTCGATGTCACGGCAATTTCCAAGCTTTGTGACAGCTTCTGCTCATGGGATATTGGACCTGTCGAGAGACACACAGACCACAACATCCAGAGAGGTTCAGCAAAAAAGCTACTCACCAATGAATCTGAAGACTACAAAGACAGCACTTCCAACTTCAAATAGCTATACAGTCAGCCCTCCATATCCGAGGGTTCCGCATCCGCGGATTCAACTAACTGCAGATCGAAAATATTCGGGGAAAAAAGGATGATATGTAGGCATACCCTGCTGGAGCCTCTGGCCATTTCACAGATCCTCAGTCTCTCTCCAGCACTCATTTAAGCATTGTTCGCCTCCATCTGATGTGTACTATTTAGTTAGGCTTACGATGGTTGCCTCTGTACTGAACATGTACAGACTTTTTTCTTGTCACTCCCTAAACATTACAGTAGACCAACTATTTACATAGCATTTACACTGTATTAGGTATTATAACTAATCTAGAGATGATTTAAAATATATGGGAGGATGTGTGTAGGTTATATGCAGATAGTACACCATTTTATATAAGGGACTTGAGCATCCACGGATTTTGGTATCTGAGGGGTGTCCTGGAACCAATCCCCGCGGATACCGACGGACAACTTTAACTGTAAAGAAACTCCTTCTTAATGTCAACTGGTGGACTGTAGTGACAGAACACTGGGAGTTAAAACCCTGGGAACCTGGCAGTTCCTACCCATCCCACACTCTTCAGGGTTTCTGGGCTCTATTTTAGCTTTTCTCTCTTTCTAGAAGTTCCCAGGCAGGTATGGGCCACCTCGTGGCTCAACTGCGGAACTGCACCCTGCTTTCTAAAAGCCTCTCTGGAGACCAAGGAAATGAGTATGAGCCAGCAAATGCCCATCTTCACACTCCTACTCCCTGCCCTCCCACTCCCTCCCCACCAGCCTTGGTCTTCTCTTTCTCCAACTCTTCCTTTCTGGGGCCCCATTACCCTGCGAGCTGCTTGCCTGTGCTCTCTAGGTGTTTGCGCCCTCTCTCTCCTGTTAAGTAAAGCAAAGCAGTTATTACTCAGATTGGGATAACCGAGACTTTACTCTGCCCACTCCTGATCTAGGGGACCTTCCATGTGTGATCCACAGGAAGCTAAGCTATGAGGTCACAGGAAGACAAAGGGAGAAGGGACAGCTATACAAGAAAGGATGCAGGGACCTGCCTGGTAGCAGAGTTCACAAGACTGCCCCAAAGTAGAGAATGGAAAGTTTTGTCTATGGTTTGCAGGACATAGGACATTATTAGCTTGGAGCCTTGGAGCACCGATCAGCATGGCCCTGTGTCACCAAATGAGTCTGTCAAGGTCAACACTACCAGAGAGTGCAACAAACAGACCCAGGGTCTAAGGACCTTTGTCTGCCTCTTGCCCCACTACACTACCAATGATTTCAGGAGTTCCTGGGGTCATGTTAACTAAAATTTACCCACAAAATCAGAGAAGACAGATGTAACCATTAGGTGCACTATTTGCATAGGCCTTTTAGAGTAAGGGGAAACTAAAAGAAACATAAAATCTACACAGACTAATTCTCATAAAGAAAAAGTTGTCCAAAAAGCACCAGGCACTGACAATCCCAGGGGGATTCTAGTACTATTTAAACTGTTTCGCAGTGTCATGGATTGAATTGTGTCCCCCGAAAATATCTGTCAATTTGGCTGGGTCATGATTCCCAGTATTGTATGACTGTCTACCATTTTATCATTTGATGTGATTTCCCTATGTGTTGTAAATGCTATCACTATAATGTAATAAGATGGATTAGCAGCAGTTATACTGATAAGGTCTACAAGATTAGGTACTGTCTCACGCCAGTCTCTTCTGAGATATAAAAGAGAGAAGCAAGCAGAGAGACACAGGAACCTCATACCACCAAGAAAGCAGCGTCGGGAGCAGAGTGCACCCTTTGGACCTTGAGGTTCCTGTGCTGAGATGCTCCCAGACCAACGGAAGACTGAAGACAGGGACCTCCCTCCAGAGCCGACAAAGAGAAGGCCTTCTTCTGGAGCTGACACCCTAAATTTGGACTTGTAGCCTACTGGACTGTGAGAGAATAAATTTCTCTTCGTTAAAGCCATCCACTTGTGGTATTTCTGTTAGAGCAGCACTAGATGACTAAGACACACAGTATAGACAAGGAAAATTTTCAAATTCTTTTTATGAAGCAAGTACATCATTGATACCAAAACTTGTCCAAACACACTCACAAAACTACAGTCCAATCTCACTAATGAATTCAAAAACACGAGCAAATACACTAAAAGAATCATGACCAAATCGAGTTTATTCCAGGAATGTAAGAATGGTTCAATATTAGGAAACCTATTAATGTACTTTAACACATTAAAAGATCTAAGGATGAAACATCGTAATATTATCTCCACCAATACTGAAAAGGCACTAGACAAAATTCAACCTCCAGTCTTGGATAAAAACACTCAATTAAGGAATCAATGGTATAGGAGACAGCCTTTGGGTATCCCTTCCCCTGGAGTGTGGGCTGGACTTAGTGATTTGCTTATAACAAACAATACAGTAAAACTGATGGGATGTCATGTCCAAGATTAGGTATTAAAGACTATGATGATTTCCATCTTGTTTGCACACCCTTTCTTTGGTACTTCCTGATTGCTCTGATGAAGCAAGCTACCATATTGTGAGCTACCCATGGAGAGGCCCATGTGGCAGAGAACTGAGGGTAGCCTCCAGCCTACAAGGAACTGAACTGTGAAACAACCATGAGTGAGACTGGAAGTGAACCCTTCCCTGGTCAGGTCTTGAGATGACTGCAGTCAACACTTTTGATTACAGCCTGAGAAAGACCCTGAAGTTGAGGACCTAGAAGGGTTATGCCTGGATTCCTGACCACAGAAACTATAAGACAAGGAATGTTTGTTGCCTTAAGCTAGTAAGTTTTGGGGTAATTTGTTAAGTACCAATAGATAACTAATACAAATGGATACTTTATTAACTTCCTTAAAACAGATCTTAACCCAAAAGCCAAAGTTGGGCTTATACTGAGGCATTCACACTGAAGTCAGAACAAGAGAAGGGTGCCCACGATCACCTGTATTATTTAACACTGTGCCAGAGGTACTAGCTAAAACATTTATTTCAATAAGAGAAAGAAATGAGAGGTTAAGAAACATTAGAAAACAGAATATAAAATTATCATTGTTTATATTATATGATTGTATAGGAGGTAGCTAAAAAATGACTAGATAATAATTCAGTAAAGTACAGAGATACAAAATTAATACACAGATATCAATGGCTTTCATACATTTAAACAAAATTCAGTTAGAAGGTATAAAGGAAGAAAATGCTCCATTTAGAAAAGCATCAAAATAAAAAAATAAAACCAAGATTAAACTTAATAAAAAAGTGAAAATCCATATAAAGAAACCCTAAAACTACAGAAGAACACAAAAGAAGGCCTCAGTGAAAAGATATACCACAGGAAGAGTCAATATCACAAAGATATCAATTCTAAGTTCATTTATAAATTTAATGTGATCACAATTTTCTTAAAGTTTTGTTTTTGGGGAGGGGAGGACTAAACAAGGTGATTCTAAAATTCATATGGAAAAAATAAGAATAATCAAGGCAACTTTGAAAATAATAAAAAATGAGAGGGGAACTTGCTCTAATAGCTATTAAAACATATTAGAAACCAACAATAATTAAAATATGTTACAGACACACCAATAAATAACCAAACCAAACCTGCTGCCGTCGAGTCGATTCCGACTCATAGCGACCCTATAGGACAGCAGAACTGCCCCACACGGTTTCCAAGGAGGGGCTGGTGGATTCGAACTGCCAATCTTTAGGATAGCAGCTGAGCTCTTAACCAGTGAGCCACCAGGGCTCCACGAATAAATAAAGAGACCAACAACACAACAGAAAGTCTAAAAATACTCAAATATATACAGAAATTTAGTACATGATATAAGCGGCATTTCAAATCAGTAGGAGAAAGATGGAACAGTCAATAAATGGGCACATGGGTAGCCAGCTGAAAAAACATTAAGCTGGATCCATACCTTACACCATTCCAAGTGGATCAAAGATTTAAATTTAAAAGAATAATCAGATCATAAAAATACTAAAAGAACACATGGGAGAACTCCTTGGATGGGGAAAGTCTAAATGACCCAAAAGCCAGAAGCTGTAAGGAAAAAAAGATGGATAAACTAGACTACACTAAAAAAAAAAAAAACAACAAAAACCTGAATGGCCAAAAACACAGTAAGTCCTATACCCACCCCCTCCAAAAAGAAAAACCTGGGAAAATATATTTCAGCTCATAACAAAGTCAAAGGGCTAGTCTATAAAGACCTAGAAATTACCAAGAAAAAGACCAATAACTAATAGAAAATAAGCAAAGGAGATGGACAGACAGTTCACAGAACAGGAAATACAAATGATTTTTAATTATATGAGAAGATGCTCAATCTCACTAACAAAAGAAATGAAAATGAAAACAACATAAAATACCATTTTTTAATCTATCAAATGATAGTTTGAAAACACATTATTTTAGTAAGGCTGTGAGGAATCTCACCAACACTGCTGGTAGGATATTCACTGTGCAATCCAGCAATATCTGTCACATTTACAGATGAATATATCCTTTGGCCTAGAAATTCCACTTCTATGATCTTGTCCTACAGATACACTTGCCCATATAGAAAACTATCCATGTACAAAGTTATTCACTGAAGTTTTATTTGTAATAGCAAAATATTAAAAACAGCCTAAATGTCAATCAAAAGGAGGGGGCATTAGGGATAGATGTTTTACTCTGTGTGTGTATAATTTTCTAACTATAAGAATATATTGCTTATTCAAAAACAAAAATCAGAGCTAAAGGTAGATATGGTTAAAATACCCAGTGATAAAGTAGTCTGAAGATTTTTTATGAAAAATTTAAAGTTCATACCCAATCTCAGACTCTGAAAATCACTCATCTTTATTTTGTTTCAACTTTACAGTTAAAAGATCTTATTGATTTTGCTCTTTTCTCTATAAATTTAAAAACAGCTTTCTCCTCAAATCAGTATTTCTGACCCGGAGATGTCATAAACGAGGCACCAGGATTTTCTGCTCATGCTTTCCTGAGCTGAAAAGACATTTTTTATTTATATCTCTTCATTTCTCGATTCTCCTCCTATCTTTTACTAGAATTAAATGCTTTATTTGTCAATCTGTTTGGAACACATGAAAACCACAACAGTCCTTCATGCAGGGTCTCATGGAATGCACATGAACGTGGGGTTCAGCAAAACAAAGGTGCCCAAATCTGAGACCAATGAAGCAGGGACCATGTGGAAGATGGGTGGGGGCTAGGGGAGGAAATGACTGTGGCAAAAAGCGAAGCTTAAGCAAAGCAACCAAGGCTGACTGAACACATTCAGCTGCACAGGTCCCCAGGTGAACAACGGTGCACTCCTCAGGAGATGGCAGGCATCGCTGGTCCCAGGAACCACTGGCAACCCCTAGGCAAGATGCGAGAAGCCAGGATGCTTAAATCTCCTCGTAAAGAATGTTTCAACTCGTCCACACACTAACAGCACCTTCTTCGACGTGTCTTGTCTCTTCAACAAGACTACCTTCTGAAAGGGGGGCCCACAATCTACTATTTTTCTACTTTTCCACATGTCCATGGCATCCCATGGAGTGGTGGGGTGAGGCAGGGAGTACCTTGATGCATTTATATCAACGCACCTCTGTAAACGATAGAAACACCACTCTGGAGAAGCCCACTGATACATGAGTAACCGTAAAGAGGATATCAGAAGGAAGACAAGGTCAGCTTCGAAGGACTGGTGTCTTTCCTCCCAGCAGCTTTGACCAAGACTTTGAGCCCAGGGTGAAGTGTTGACTTGGCCAGGGGATATAAAGGGAGCCGGAGGAAGGTAGAAACCACTGGGGGAACTATCATTGCATGGAGGAGCAAAATACACAGACTGAAGCCTTGGAACAGACGAGAACACATACCAGCCCCTCCAAGGTCCTGGATTGTCTCTGGCCTGAATACAAAGGTGGAGGCCCCACAATGAGAAATGAGAAAGAGGAGCATGGGCACTAGCCTGAGGAATTTACACTGGCAAAGCATAAAGCAAACAGTGCCAGGTGTCACCCAGGAAGAGCTGGTATGACAACAGGCTATGCACGTAGCATGGAGATTACCTGTTGAGCAGTCCATGTGCGTCAGGCCAAGCTCACTGGCAGCTTTCATTTTCTTAGCGGTGTGCTCTGAGGTAGTGGGTGAGACCAGAGGGCTTGTGGCAGAAAAACAGGAAGCATTTATACCAAGGCTACTGTCTGGGGCTTGTTCAGCCTGTTCCATCTTCCTTTTCCGAGAAGGCGTAACGATGGAAGAAGGGGTTGCCGCCACTGCAGTCTGTGCTCTTCCAAGCAGGTGGCAGCCAGGGATGGAGTGCTGGAGCAGGAAATGGTCAATCCGGGCCTTCAGGGAGGGGTGAGGCAGAGGCTGAGAGTGTAGAGTAAAGGCTACCCCCGTGAAAGGGTCGCTGGGTACCCGGCCCCACGCAGCTTCACTGCGGTTACACTTTTCCAGTGTGCTCTGGTCGATGACCTTGCCTGAGGGTAGCAACATGGGACAAGGCATGATCTCCAGGGTGATGGGATCCAAGAACTCCTCAGGCACATCCTGAATTACCTCAGCCAGCTCCTGCAGGCTAGAGGGGGCCTGGTGGCACTCAGACTGGCCCCCAGGGTCACAGTCACTCTCCATGGGCAAGGCCGGGGCCTGCAGAGCCAAGCCCTGAGGGAGGCTCTCTGAGGCAACCAGCAGGACACTGTCTATCACCTCCTGGGAGCAAGTTTTGGCTGGTTGACCCCACACTTCCAACCGCTTGATGCATGGGATACTGCTGCCTGTCACGTGGGTGATACAGATCTTGAGATGGGCCACATAGCTAAGGGAAATAGCCCCTTTATTCCAGAGCTCCTGGGCCACAATAGCAGGAGAGGGGAGTGTGGCTTCCGCTGGGCCAAAAGGTGCCCTGGCCTTGAAGCCCCTGTGGTTAAACACCACTTGGCTCTGGTTTTTCAACAAGACTTTGCCTACCAAGGTGAACGCCTCTTTCTCTGGGATGGATGGCTCAGCTGGGCCTGGGGTCTGACACTCGTGGGTACACCAAGATGCTCTGCTGGGTAAGGCAGACGTGTACATTTCCAGGCCAGTGACATTGTGGCCTCCCCCAGCTGTGAGGTCTATGTTAATCCTACAGATTTCCACATTAAAGGGAAAAGAAACTGTCACATAGACTGGTGGCTTAATGAAATACTCTGTCCTAAAACCACGACTTCTCTTTGTGAGGTCTTCAGAGATGAGATTTTCTACTTCATAACCATCAGCTGATATCTAGATTTAAAGACAAATATGAGACACACTGATTTAATGAGGTCCAAATGAAGACAACTAGTTTTTCAAGAACTTGCCATTTCTAAGAAAACTCTTTAAGGAAAGTTTGAAGTTCATTGTTTTAAGTTTTCTTCTATTAAACTAATCCTTCCTTTTTTTTTTTTTTGCAGGTATTCAAGATCAGGTCAAAGGTGAAGGTGTGTCCTCAGGTTCTGTCCATACTGAAAGCATACAAGCAATAAGATCCTGCCCAATCAAATAAAAAACTCCTTCAGTTTAGCATTAATTCAACAATTTAACATCATTCCTTCAAAATAACATCTCTGTGAAGAGAAAATAAAAATACTAATGGTTTTTTACTTCAAAGGATAAAAACATGTAGATTTAGGGGAAAACAAAGATATTCACTACATTTCTCAGTTTTGTATTTGGACCCTCCAATTATAACTTCCCTAAGGAAAGTATAGCAAACAAGCTTCTTGTAAGTCTATGATTGATGAAACTTGATAAAATGCGTGCACAGCGACAAGGACCACGAAGACTATGGAAAATTTAAAACAGTGGATGTGCTAGAGGGCGGGATTGTGAGTAATTCCTCCCCTTTTATAACCAATGGAAATGTGAAGGTATCTTGTCCAAAGGAGTCAGCCTAACTATCTGAGAACCTGAAACAGTATGTCATGTACAGAAACTCCAAATTAGGGAGAGATTCAATTCTTCCTTTGGTGTTTTCCTATTCACTGCTCTGGGCTATAGAAAGATATCCTCCTTTGCACAAATGGGGAGGTAGCTTAATTCAAATAATGAAGAACAAGCAATCCAAATAACAAATACAAGCCGTTATTTCTAGTATTAGAAATCAGCAAGAACAACTGAGGGGAGGGAGACTATTTCTACCTTTTATGACTTTGGGTGGAATTACACTTTCATCAAAAAGGGAAGAGTATGATGAAGACGACCCTCCACAAAATGAGTCACCGCTCACCTTCTAAGTGCTGTATGATTCTAGAGATTCAGTCTAACCCATGCTTACTGCAGTATACATTAAGCCTGCGTTAAGCCCACATACACAAGGTAGGAAATTGGAAAAATATGAAAAATACATATTGTTTATTTGTTGTATGTATTTGTTTAGTTTACCTTGTTGCAGTGAATTCTTGGTCTGAACTGTGGAAGGCAAAGATTTATTACCATCTTTGTGGCTGAAAGAATAGCTTCCAAGCATCAGAAACACCCTTAAATAAAAAATAAAACTTTGTATTAGTCAGACAAATTCAATTCTAAACTTTCAGGAATTGATTCCAAAAAGAAAATCAAACTGGATTAACAACAAAAACTTCAACACACACACACACTCACTCTTATGATCTATACTCATTCTCTGTATCCTACATGTGATGTTGGGTAAAATGAGTCACTTTAAAATTATGAAGACAAATATTGTATCATCTCACTTACATGAAATACCTAACACAGGCAAATGCACATAGGCAGAAAAGTAGATTAGTGGTTACCAGGGGCTGGGAGTAGGTGAACTACGGAGTTATATATTGCTTAATGGGTATAGAGTTTCTATTTAGGTGATGAAAAAGTTTTGGAAATAAATAGTGGTGATTTTTACAACACAGTGTACAACATTGTGAATATAAGGTCACTGATAAATATTTTACCACAATAAATTTTTTTTTAATTATGAAGGAGATTTCTACTGCAGGCTGAGAAAGTTGGCATGGACTATAGCAGTCTCCCAGTTTCTGGCTGTCACTATGCAGTGGGTTCCCCACAAGAAAGGGAGGGTCAGCAGTGGCTCAACCCAGAGAAAGAACAGGAATGCTTAGGCAGAGGGTTTAGAATGGAAAAGGTCGCAGAAAATAATCACAGCACTGCTGGGCATCTTTGTCAACACTTCTCAGTGCAATTATGTTTCCTCAATAAAAACAAAAAAACAACAATTAGGAGGATCAGAAACATCATTATTGAGAAACAGAAGATCTTATGGTTGGAAGGAGCTTAAGAGGACATTTAATCCAAATAGCTTAATGACCAATGTCCAACAGCCTTTGGTACTCCTCTGTAGATAAGTAGGGAAGCTACTAGAAACATCCCTTCCAAGGAGCTGAACTCTTTGGATAAGGCCAGCCAGCCAATTACTCTTCTGCCAGACTACCCTGCTTTTCCATCTGGCAGACATAACTCTTGTCAGCCCAACAGGGACAGGACCACTCTCTGAAGTCTTTTTATTGTCATGATCAGTATGTGCCACTAACAGAGGTCAGGCATGTTAGTCATCCTGCAACATTTGTGTGGACAGTTCTGCACAGTGAAGACGTGTTTCATGTGACTTTTAAATGTTTTTTATTATCTCAGTCTAGCCCCTAACTCAGTTTTACAAATAAACACAAAGTATTTTTTAACATAGTTATAATACATGCTAAATTTTCTAGGCAAATCTGCTGCAAAAGACCTCTTTAAAGTGTTTAAAAGCAAAGATGTCACTTTAAGGACTAAACTGCACCTGACCCAAGCCATGGTATTTTCAGTAGCCTCATATGCATGTGAAAGCTGGACAATGAATAAGGAAGACCAAAGAAGAACTGACGCCTTTGAATTACGGTGTTGGCAAAGAATATTGTATATACCACGGACTGCCAGAAGAACAAACCTGTCTTGGAAGATGTACAGCCCAGAATGCTCTTTAGAAGTGAGGATGAGGAGACTTCATCTCACATATTTTGGACATGTTATCAGGAGGGACCAGTCCCTAGAGAAGGACATCATGCTTAGTAGAGGGTCAGCAAAAAAGAGGAAGACCCTCAACGAGATGGATTGACACAGTGGCTGCAACAATGGGCTCAAACATAACTACTGTGAGGATGGCAGGGGACCAGGCAGTGTTTTGTTCTGTTGTACACAGGTTCGCTACTCAATGGTACCTAACAACAAATTTTCTAGTAAGGGAACTTCTATGTAAGTTGTGGGAATACTGTACTGTTTTTCAGACTTCACCAAGAGGGGTTCACCATTTCTGAAAACCTCATCACCGAGGGCAATGGCTTTGACATGTTGGTAAAAGCTTTTGATTATTTCTTTATGTCTTCTAGTATAGTCACACCCCAACATTTACATGTGAGAGTAAGTTTTATTTTATGATCACACTTCTAAAGTTTTCTATATTACTGTTAGGGCATTTTGTGTGTATGTATGTATGTTAGCTATTTATGGTCCTTTGTTCTTCCACATAAACTTTAGAATTTGCTTGTCAAGTTCCGTGAGAAATCCTGTTGGGATTTTTATTGGATTACATTGAATCTACAGTGCAATTTGGGGAGATAATATGACACATTTATTGTGGGGATATGTGCCATTAAAACATGGATGTATACAGGCCTCTATGCTGCACAACATGTTGAGACTTGTCCCCAACATGTTGAGACTTGTCACGACTTGTTTTTCCAAACCCGTTACTTGTCCCCAACATGTTGAGACTTGTCACGACTTGTTTTTCCAAACCCGTTACTGATTGGCTTGTTTACCTGAATTCCTCCTCCCTTGCC